TCTCCCTGTGTCTGTCTGTCTGTCTGTCTTTCTCTCTCTCTCTATGTTTCTCTTTCTCTGTGTGTCTCTTTCTTTCTCTCTTTTTCTCCCTCTCTCTTTCTGTCTCTTTTCTCCCCCCTCTATCTCTTTCCATCTCTTTCTCCACCGTCTCTCTTTCTCCCTGTCTCTTTCTCTCTCTTTTCTCCCTCTCTCTCTTTCTTTCGCTCTCTCTCTCCGACTCAAAATCTTTGTAAAGTTTCTTTTCGTTTGCTGAGCCAATATCCTCAATGGACTTTCCCTCCCTCTTTGTAAGAGAGGTTGATTAATCGCCTCAGAAAATTCTCCTTTCGGAGAAAGAGGAAAGAAGATGAGAATATCCCAATTATGAGGGCCAGATAAGGCCTCTCTCGGCTATAAATGAATCCTGTGGTCAATATTAGTTGTTTATTTTGGAGCGCATAAGCAATTTTCTATCCCAGGGATCAAGATCATGCCTCTTCTCGCAGTCTGTTCTTGTCTCCCTTGACGCTACTACGACATGGCAACCGTCATAAATATGGACCAGTTGCCAAGCATCTGGATTTGGATCACAGATTTTGATCATGGGGATGCTTACAAAAGCTGTAACATTTAAAAAATGTTCACAAGTCACTTTTTCAGTGCCTTTGTAACTTTGAACGGTCACTAAATGAACTGTTGTAAGGCAAGGACTGCCAGTACACATCTTGTTGGGTTTCTACCACCGATATTGTGGCTGGCAGGAAAAGCAAAAACAAGAAAGAGATGGTCTGTGGAGATTTTTCCATCATCCAGGTCATGGTTGTCCCCAAAGTGCCTTTTTTTTTTTCAAGAGGCAACTGGACTTTCTGGTTTTTCTTTGAAGGTGTTTCACTTCTCTTCCAAGAAGCTTCTTCAGCTCCGACTGGATGGTGGGGAATGGATGGATTTACACTCCTTGCAGATAGCTGGTCATTTGCATTCTTCTTAGAGGGTCGTTGTGGCCACTTGGAAGTTTATCTGTGTCCTCGGGGTCACCTGAGTACTGCAAATGGGTGGGGAGTTTTCTTGGCACCTCTGAAAGGACTGAATTGTGGAGCTGTGCGTTGTGCGGGACATTTCTGCAACACAGACAAACCTCCAAGTGGCCTCAACGACCCCCTAAAAGGATGCAAATGACCAGCTTGTCTGCAAGGAGTATCAATCCTTCCATTCTTCCACCATCTGGTCAGAGCTGAAGAAGCTTTTTGGATGAGAAGCGAAACCTCTTCAAAGGAAAAAAAAAAGCAAGAAATTCCGGTTGCCTCCTGAAAAAAAAGCACCCTTAGGCGAAAGAATGACTGCCGCTACAGTGTGAGGTTGCGAGGTTGGTACCCAATGACCTGCTTTTGCGGGCACCCCGATTTTTCCCACCCTGCATCGATCCAAATTCCTTTTCCCCTTCTTTGAACGTATGCTGCTTTCCCCCCCCCCCCTTTGATCCTGCCTCCCGCCGATATCCGCTTGACCTCCTATTGTTGTTACGTCGTCGTCGCTGCCGCAGCCGTTGTTATTTTGTCCTTCCTCCCACCCTGCTCCTCTCCCGATGCCCCAGGTGCTGCTGTAGCATCAATGTCTCGTAGTGAACTGTACTGCACTTTTTTTTTTTTTTAAATTCAATCCTACTTTACATGTTCTGTCTTTTATTTTTTTCCAAGCTCACTATCTGGATAAGGTAGTGAAAGGTATGGTGGCTTTTCTTCTTTTCGTGTCTTTGTGTGTTTCGATCCAGCTCAGCGCCGTCCCCTGCCCTGCACAAATCTTAGCTTAGGAGCCCCTTCCTCCCATTTCCACAACCTCACCATTGTCACCTAAAGTCTAGCATGACATATATATATATATGTATGTGTGTGTGTATATATATATATATATATATATATATATATATATATATATATATATATTCCCTCAGGGATTTAAGCCCAGGAAGTCCATTTCAACTCCATCCTTCTGTAACTGCAGCTTGTCTTCCACTAATGTCCTATCTGTGTGGCTTCTGTCTTCTCCATCCATCCCTCATCCCAACTTAGACAGGGGATGTGGGTTGGGAGGAGGGAAGTGCCTCTGCAAGGATGCTTTTAATTATTATTTTTTTCATGGTACAACTCAGGAGAAGACAAGGTGAGTAAGACAATGCGAAGCCTTCTTTGTTCACAAAAGCCCGGGGAATAATCTTAAGCGTGGCCTCTCCCTTTCAGGTTGGAAGTATTTCAGGTTGAAAGTGGGCTGGCTAATATTTAAGATAATGTTTGTCCGTCAGCCTTTTTCCCAGTTTTAGTTATAAAAATAATATAAAATAACATAAAAATGAAAAATAAATACAAATCAGGAAATAAATACAAATCAGTTATTTTAACCTTCTTTTCAGAACTTCCAAACTTGCAGATCTTGAATCCTTTTCAACCATCCTGGCCCAAAATACGGTTTTATTAGCACTTTCTGATCTCACGCACAAACATAAAGACACACAATAATGGCTCTGCCCCCCACCCAAAAAACCCCCACCCCATTTGCAAAACTGGTAGACAAACCAACATAGATTCTTTTTCACAGATGTCCGCACGAGAAATCTTATTCCAGGGAAGCCCATTATGCTTCGTAGGGGAGATTGAAATTCTAGACCCTTTCAGCTCAGGGGTGTTTCCTGCTCTTTCAAAAACCACACATTTTCACAGATACGGTACTTTAACAACCCATCCACCCACCCACCCCCGGGGGTGGGGGGGGAAAGCCATTAAAAGTTGGCAATTTTTCTTTTCCCCCGGATTTTCCCTGGATGTATAGTGGCTACCACTCTGGGTTGAGGCTAACTCTGTTAAATCGAATTTTAATTCCTTTAAATTAATTGTAATTTAATTTACTGAAGTCTAACTGTAATGGGGGGTGGGGGGTGGGGGAAGATAAAAAGAAACTGGGAACTATTTCCTCTGCTGTTTTAAGACATGCCCGCTAATTACAGGCGTTGTACATAAAAGCTCTAGGCGTGAATGTCATCTGAGTTCGTCTGATGACAGGACAATAAATTCTATTGGGTTGGACACAGGTATCCTTTCGGAAGCCCAGTGGTGGGGCTAAGGGTTATTGTGAAGGGCAAGGCAGGAGGGTTGTGTTGAGCCCTCTCGAAGCAGTTTATAGAGTCAACCTATCACCCCCAACAATCTAGGTCCTCATTTTACCCACCTCAGAAGGATGGAAGGCTGAGTCAACCTTGAGCCGGTCAGGATCAAACTTCTGGCAGTGGGCAAAGTTAGCCTGCAATACTCATTCTAATCACTGTGCCACCATGGCTCCTTCCTTCCTTCCTTCCTTCCTTCCTTCCCTCCCTCCCTCCCTCCCTCCCTCCCTCCCTCCTTCCTCCCTTCCTCCCTTCCTCCCTCCTTCCCTCCCTCCATTCGCAATAGCACTTAGACTTATATACCGCTTCATGGTGCTTTCCAGCCCTCTTTAAGTGGTTTACAATGTCAGCCTATCTCCCCCCAACAATCTGGGTCCTCATTTTACTGACCTCGAAAGGATAAAAGGCTGAGTCAACTTTGAGCTGGTCAGGATCGAACTGCTGGCAGTGAGCAGTGAGTTAGCCTGCAATGCTGCACTTCTAACCACTGCACCGCCACAGCTCCGTCGTAAGTTGAGGACTGTTGGTTCACCTCTCCTGGCCTGTTTCCTTGGGGTTCCAAGAAACAGGCTCGTTAAAACATCTCATCGCCCTCACATCCTCTACTACTGCTCCTGAGTTCTATCAAAGTAGCGTAGCGTCGCCCAAAATACAGTATACCTATAAATATATTGTTTAAATTTTGGAGGATTACCAGGAGCCGGAAAAAGAGTAGCCCGAAAAACTTTGGATCAGGTTAGCGCGAATGCCGCGCGCGGTAAACATTTCCACTCACCCTAAGCAATGGGGAAATCAGCAACGTGGCGTAACTTCCAACTTCCATAAATCTCCTTGACTTCGGTGGACAGGGATGCCTGTTGGAAGCGGCTGACAGCTCGCTGTTGTTTAGATTGCCGTAATTATGAACACATTTTGCTGAGCGGCCCCAAATCCGCTTTCCTGATCTGAGTGAAGAATAATTGGTTGCATTCTGTTTTAATCCGAACCAGCCTCTTTAAGGGATCCTGTCTTCACCAGAGATAATAAAGGGGAGTTTTAAGAGGTGTTTTTTGTCTCCCGTGAGGAGCGTGGGAACTCCTCCCCTGGAAGCCAAACCCAGACTTTTTCGGCACCCTCACCAAACTACAATTACAGGAAATCCTCGATGTCCGTTTAGTGACGGTGCAAAGGTTAACAACGCGCTTGAACGAATAAAAAAAATCAAGCTTAACCAAGTATAGATTGTCCTCGGCCTGAGACCACAGTTGAGCCCCAAAATTGTCGAAGTGAATCTCCACGGTTGTTAAGTGAGTAAGACAGTTATTAAGCAAATTTGGCTTCCCCGTAAATTTCACTTGTCGGAAGGACACAAAACTTAGCGGTGGAAATTTCAGGCTCGATTGCGGTCGTAAGTCGAGGACTACCTGCATTACCGCATACCCAAGCCGTTCGATTTCACGCCCCCGGGGTAAAATATTGATCGGAGGTGGACAAATTTCCTCGAGGAACAAAATGGCCCCAAAGAAGCAAATCGTCACTCCATCTTTCTTTGCACATGTGAACGGGCTTTGTGAATCTTGCTCTCCAATGTTAATTAGTCTTCTCCAACTAAACTTCCCTTTTCTTTCCCCCCCTTCCAGAGGGATGCCCCGGGTTGTGTAACGGCAACGGTAGGTGCACGCTGGACATGAATGGGTGGCACTGTGTCTGCCAGCTGGGTTGGAGAGGGACAGGCTGTGACACGTCCATGGAGACCGCGTGTGGAGACGCAAAAGACAACGATGGAGGTAAGATTCCTCCTGCTCACCAGGTTTACCGATCATGAATCTTCATTTTGCATGGATAGAAATGAGAATGTCATGCCCCTGTCGGAGTCTGAATCCGAAGAGGAAGATGAACAGCTGACAGGGTGCAGGAGTGTGGCTCTGTAGGCTGTGGAGGAAACTGGGGAAGGGCAAAGTCCGGCTGGGAAGAGCAGGGGAGAGAGGTAGAACAAGGGGGAGAGGGAGTTCAGAGGAAGACCCAGGCCCACCCCCTCTTCATCCTAGGGTACGCAGGGAGGAACGGAGAAGGAAGCAACGTGGGTTGCATGGCTTACGGGGGGAGGAAAGGGCCCTGATTCCCTTCATTAGCCATACCTGGGAATGAAAGTTTAAAAGAGATGCATGCTGAGTGTGGCAGCTGCTGGGAACAAACGTGAGTTTCGTTGCTTATCTGTGTTCCTGGCGTCTTCCCAACCATGTTGGGTTACTGCCGTTCCTTCACATCTGGAATTCTTGCTCCTGCCCTGCCAAACTAATTACCTCAGTTTGGCTTAAGTGGATTTATAGTTACAGTTTGTATTGACCATGTTTTGGACTTGATTCTCTGCAGCCAAAGGCTGTTCCTGGGAGAGTTTTTCTCCAGCCAAAAGGTAACCAGGACATTGGGGGCAAAGTTGGAGGGACTCTTATTGATTATCTGACTGTGTTGCCTTTGTGCCATGCCCCTTTGGGTCATCACAGAGAGCAAGGAACAAACCGAGTTCCAGGTCTGAAACCAAACAGCCCCATTTGGGATGTCCTATCTGAACATTTCAAAGTTGGGTTGGACCAAAAGCCAGTTCAAAATTGGCTTTTTATTTTTATTTTTTGCTATTCAAAATCTTATGGATTTGTGTCATAAAGGACAGATTCCTGCAGGCTGCTATGAAACTGGTACAGTTTTCTGTATAAAATCCTCTGCTCCAATAAAAGAATCTTTGTAGCTCAGGGTTGAATCATTGATGGGTCCTTGATGCTCTCTGAGCTTGGCTGCTTTCTTGTAGGCATCCCATGACCCAACTAGGTAACTTCATCAGTGTTAGAATGGGGTAGGAGGAGGAAGAGGAAGACTCTAGGGTCCTTAGTGCTTTCTAAGCTTGGCTGTTTTCTTGCAGATGTTTCATTACCCAGCTAGGGAACATAATCCTTGCCAGATGCACCATCTATAAAGCGTCTTGTATAAACAAACTGTTGTAAGTCAAGGACTACAGTATCCGTAGTCTCGATTCCTTCAACTGAAGGGCCCTGCAGGCGTTGTATGTACTCTCACACGCTGCCAAGACTACATGATTTTCGGAGAAAGGAAACGAGATAAATCCCACTCGGAGCTTATCTATTTCAGAGGATTTAAAAGTGCCTTTTTCCCCCCTGCCTAAAATGTTCAGATGATTGAATGCTTTAGGTTAGTCCGGTGTGGTAACAAGTCCAAATTGCTTCCTTTAGGAAAAAGATTGGGGGGGGGGGGCTAAGACAGGAACTGACAGAAATAGCCTGCTGCCCCTTCTGATAAACCCCCTCTCCCAACGGCTCTTTTCTTCCCCCTCGTGAAATTAAATATCCCCATTCTCAGTTCAATTGACAGCCGGCCCAAGGCCATCATTCTTGTCTAGATGTGTCAGAAATACGGATTTAGAGCCGTAATCTGTACTTCTGTTGAATAAAAGGGGGGTGGAAATGACCAAATTTAGTATGTTTTTTTCTGGAATACATCTGTATCAAGAGATATTGGTACAGGGATTATAAACCGTGGTGGCACAGTGATTAGAATGCGCTGTCCTGCCCACCGTCAGGAGTTCGATCCTGACTGGCTCAAGGTTGAACTCTGCCTTCCATCCTTCCGAGGTGGGTAAAATGAGGACCCAGATTGTTGGGGACAGTAAGCTGACT